CGCCTTCATTCAAGGTATCGATTTTCCTTGCTTTGACACGGCGGTTCTCCCTGTCGCGTTGATACAGTTACGTCAGCTGAGAACAGCGGCCCGCTTCCTCCTAATCAAGCACTTGGTTACTACGAGAGGCACGGCTTGTCTTTCAGTATCATGCTTCAACATGATGTCTTGACGTCCATCCGCCGCAATTGTCAAATATGTACCTGTATTCACTTTTCTTTGATATGCCAAGGACCATTACTAAATGTACAACCTATCGAAGAAGCATTTAGGAGTGAAGGCTGATCATATGATCATTGGGGTGTCCTACCGATTTCGCGCTCTATGGAGGTACTCCAGGACTGGCCGTAAGCTTCTTCTGCTGCAGACCGACCTTCATCCAAGGGGGAAGAGGAGTCGATGATCCCCTTCCTTCGCTGCAGACCCTTTTCGAAGCGCGGTCTCCTTCCGAAGCCCACTCCGTCACTCCCTTACTCCTTCACCTCTATGTGCTCACGCTCAATAATCTCCACAGCACCCTTCTTATCGTCCCTTCCCACCGCGTCCTCGTCACCAGCATTGATCGACTGCTTTTGGAGGATATCGTTCTTCACCGCGTTCTTGCCGTCGAAGATGACGCTGACTTCCTCCAGCGTGATCTTAGAGGTTTCAGGATATGTGAAGTACACTATCACCAGAGCGATGAGGATAATAATGTTTATTATGAGGTAGTATTTCCAGCCGATGTTCTTCAAGGCCACGGGGTTCTGTTGACAAATGTTAGTCTACTTCAGGCAGGAGAAGCCGTCTGATGAAACCTACCAAGTAGTTAAAGCCGGTGATGGTCGCTTGAACAAGCAAGTTCTGCGTGCAAATAAGCTTCGGTCGGATATCGTAGCTCATAACCTCGACAGTGTATCCAGTTAGAATACCATTCCAGGTCGTGGCATAGAAGGCGTTGAAGATGAAGATGAATGCGATGACCGCGGGACCGGCATCCTTGACTCCATCCTGGACGTATAACGCGCTGCAGATCGTCCAGGGTAAGAATCCGCAAAGAAGCATGCCACTGAGGGAGGTCAAAAGCATGGGCCGACGGCCGAATTTGTCAATCACGTATGCGCCCCAGAATGCCCATCCCATGTTCCTGCACATATTTTAGTACCTCATTCATCCCGAAATCCCAAGAACCTAAGACTTACCACATTGTCAAGCAACCATTGATGATAGACTGATGCCGGGGATTGGTGATGCCGATTCCGGTCAGAATCAAGACGAGGTAATAGCCGATGATGGTTTGTCCGGTGGCCTGGCTAAGAATCGAGCAGCTCACGACGATCCACGTACGGTGGCGGTTACCGGGCGTACGGAATAGGTCGAGCCAGCTTCTGCTACCATTCTCCTTCTCGAAAGCGAGGGTCTGCACGATCTCATTGTACTCGAAAGTAGCAAGTGGATCGGCCTCATTGCCACCGCAGTGCCAGTCAACAAGAGTCTTGAACGCTTCTTCATTTCGGCCGCGAGAACAGAGCCAGCGGGGGCTCTCGGGTACGAACCAGGTAAGAGTGACAGAGATCAAGGACGGGAACATCTGAATCAATGAGACGCTGCGCCAGCTCCAGTCGCTCTGAATGGAAAGGGTTCCCAATGTAATCCAAGCAGCAATAGCGGCACCTGGGAATCGTGTTAGCAGATGGTTGACCATTGACCTGCGATGCGCTCACCGAAGTAATACAGAGTGTTGAGTAGCGTCGACAACTGGGCACGGTGGGTTGGGTGCGAAAGCTCCGAGACAAGCATAGGCGCGGCCGTGTATTCAAAGCTGAGGCCGAGACCAATGACACAGCGAGCCACGGCGAACATGGCAATTCCTCGTGCGAAGGATTGCAGAAAGACGCCGATGATGATTATGACCGCTCCAGATATAATAATCAGCTTCCGACCAATCTTCTCGACCAGCCACCACAGAAAGAACTGCGAAATGACACCGCCGAGACCCTGGGTACCATTGAAGATGCCAAGCTGAGCACCCGTCGGATGGTGGAAATAGGATTGCTGCCTCGTCATCAGCATTGCCATGCCGAACTGGTAGAATCTCCGCTCCGCAACGACAACGAACGCTTCTCGGAAGGAACATACCCAATATGTCAAAGTCTGCATGCCATTCATGATCGAGCCGTCAAGGCCATTCGTGGCCTGTACGATGAGCACGACACAGAGCCATCCATAGAGCTTTCTGAGGTGCTTGTACTTGTACCATGGCTTTTCCAAAAGTTTCTGGACGTTGATAGTTGTGTCTCCTCGCTTTGTACCGATCACAATTTGGTTCTCCTGGGGTGCCATGCTTGCTTCAATGAGGGATCCTGACAACCTTGCAAGGAGAAGTGAGAACTAGGAGACTGTCGTCTGCTCAGTGACTCAATCACGTTCTTCATGCATACATATGAAGCATTTAAGACAACCAGTGGACGATCTCCCCACATTTCGAACTGCCGCGTCCGGAGAATCTCCGCTAAAGTATGGGGGTTAATTGCAACAGCCTAGGATATACTTGCGGACGGTATTTAGGCTAAAGCACATCCACGGCATGATTCACGGTGCTCGAGGAAATGCGCCATCAATCAAAAGTTCTTTGACTGTCGAGACGCCCCTTCGCCTTCCGGGATAGACGGGAAGGGCCGGTTGGGAGAGTAGACGACTTGTGGCGTCTCGCATGGCATTGAGTTTGGGTAAAAGTTAGGCGGCTGGGATGTGGCTAAAAGGGTCACAAGGTGGTATGATAACTTGTCCGTAATATAGAAAGATGAAAGAATAAAGCTCGTTGAGGCATCTCGGTGCTTGTCATGACCTGACCTTGGGAGAAACCGAAGCAAATGGCCATTGACATGTGAGTCGACCTTGTGCAATCTGGGGTAATGGGGAATTTGCCCGGTCGGCGCTCGATGTCCAGTATGACACTAGCCTCGCTCCACAAAACTCGTTCCCCCGCGCGGAAATGCATAGAGTTAGAGGGACCTGGAACCGTGAGGTCCATGGAAACGTCGAGGTTGAATTTAGCCTGAAGATGGACCTTGTGTCAAATCTTAGGGGAAAGAAGTGGCTAATCTTCAAATTGGCAGAAGCCGCTTCGGCTATCGCTCTGGTTGATATGCCATGAGTAGCCTACGAAGACGTGCCGTGTAAAATGACTGCTATGTCCACGCGGGTTGCCATTATTTATTCTGGCAAATGCCGTCTCCCAAGCATTCATTGGCCAAGGCGCCGTGAACGAAGGCGAGGCAAAGACGAGAGCGCCAGCGATAACCACGTGGCGACATGCATTTAGCCTTCCTGCGAGTTTCCGGAGACAAAAAGACCTTGTTGATTGTAAAAGTAAACTTGCAGCTTCGCGGGCATCTAGAGACCGTGCCGACGATAGGTCTCGATAAGAGATCCATGGCGAAAACTCGGCTCGCAAGCCCGAATGATTAGAAATGGATATACCCAGATTCTCGGTGCGCGAATCAAATGTCAGCCCAAGTTTGTGGACTGACCTGAGGTCACGGTCGGCTCCCTTGAGATGAGTAGGATGCTGTAGCTGCATAGAGCGCAGGGGCGAAAGCCCGCCTTCGTCTCGCTTGGGCGCAATGCCAGACGTATCATGTGCCTGAGTCCTTCCACACTGATGGTTGCCTTCTCCCCGTCCTGTGGCATGTCTTAAAACATGCCACAAGCAGCCGCTTGTCATGAAAGTCACATTGGATCACACAGCCGCGTGCTTCATTATCTGCCTTAGCTTCCAAGTGAGAGGTTTCGTTGTTGAGACAGAATCGGCTTTCATTTCTGATAGAGTATTGGCTTCTTTGGCAGTGGAGGCTCCTTGTCCCTCAATCAGAAGACTAGATCTATTCCGAGCAGCGGTCACTTAGTCATCGTTCGCACTTCTCTCGATGTTAAGCTCAATTTCGCATTTTCACTTGTTTCATTCTTCTTGGTCCCGATCCGCCCGGAGCGTGCCTGACGGTGAATCTCTTCCAGGATTGTGGTGGAAGAAGTGCCGCCTCCTCGCGGGCTCGCTCGGCGTCACATTCATACGACCTCTTGGCCATCTCAGATTGTGTAGTTGTACTAAATAATGTCCCTGGTCCCGAAGTAAATCAGATACACAGGAATACACTACCTCTGTGACGTTTCATCACAAGTCACAACGTAAAGAAGTGGTGACAGAGGTTACCACGTCCGTCGCTCATCGAACCACAAGTACTATTTTAAAGTGCAGATGGACTCGAAGGCACCAGTTGGAGTCTTGGTTCGGCGATGTCAGGTTCGTGGCAAAGGGAGATCAGGTTGAGCGCGAAAGTTCACACACCGCACCGCTTTTATAAGGCATCCTTGGCGTGGGTCGGCGCCTCAGCAGCATTAGCCACCAGCTCACCAGCCTCCTGTCACACCCGCTCACCTCATCCTCTTCGGCACTGTTCACTCTCGACGTGACCGCCCTGCTCAGCCTGTAACTCTCGTCCCGGTCCTCTTCCTCAACGACCATCATCTTATCTTTGGCGTGCTCAAAGGGCCATTTCAGAACTACTTACTCCCTCTCAGGCTAGAGTTTAAGGGTACAAAATGGCGCCTACACTCGGTTCCTAGTCGAGGGAGCGAGATTCGTCTGTATCTCCGAACCCATCAGTCGCCCTGCCACGAATTCTGCCCCTCAAGTCCCCCCTTGCAGGCCCGTGGCACCCTCAAGCTATTGCTTCCTATTCTTGTTTCTGCCCGCCATGAACGGGCAACTCGCTACTATGGCCGAGACTAAATTTTCCCGCAACATTGTGTGGAGCGTCAATAACGTGATGAGTACGAAGCATTGCAGCAAATTGGTGTGTTTAATGTGTCAAATCCCTTAATACGCATCTCCTTTGGTTATATCTAAGACAAAACCTTTTTAACAGTACTCCCGTTAAGTTGAAATGTACTCCATACCGCTCGAGCATGGTTTCGGACTGGTGGTTGGCAATTTTTGCTTGGTCTCCTTGTCCCACTACCTAGCACTCATCGCCTTCGCCTTCGCCTTGGTCGTGGCCTTGGTCGTGGCCCTGGTCGTGTCCTAGGTCTTCGCCCTCGCCCTCCTCTTGAGCCTCATGGCCTGCAGTCATACCAATTCTTTTAGCCATTCGAGCGAGCAACAAAAGTCCAACATGGACCATGCTTTCTATATGGGACTCATGGATAGGTTCCGCTATAAATCATCATCAATACAAAGCCAACAGCTGGAGGAAATACTCACAAGCAATTTTGTCGAGGAGCTGCATTGAGGCGGAATGATGAGGATCTTGTGCAAATCTCGAATGAGCATGTTGTGGCTTGGGAACATGTGAAGGCCCAGGTTGTGGTTCCATTATCAACTTGACCATCATCTGAATCAATGATGCCACATCACCATCTTGATCCATCTCGCCACCCATGCTCTGGAGGTCATGACCTTGGGGATCTTGGTAGTCATAGCCCTCATCTCCTTCAGCCCCTTCATGCTCCTGTCCGTAGCCGTCCTCGTGACCGTGCATATTAATGGTTCTTTGTTTTCGGAGGATAATACGCGATGCGTTTGTGCAATTGACGTCCGAGGCAACGGTGTGTGAAGGCTATTGATGTATTAACTGGAGTGTGGAGCGTTAAGTATCAACCGCTTTCGAGATGGCGAGATCCCTTTATATGTAACGAGCTATTTGATTCTAGATTTCAAAACCCAAAAATAACTTCGTTCAATTTTAGGACCTCGAAGAACGAGCTGAAGCCCCCAAAATAATGGAGGAGAGCGAAATACTAGGGTGGTTTCATACGCTTTACGTCCGTACTTGCATGAGACAGATTAGGTTAACATACTATCCCGATTCGTTTAATCTTATTCTGACCCATAATTATAGTGCTTATTGGCGATATAGATCTTAGAATAGTTAAGGGTCCAGATCTAAATGCCAGATAATGCTTCCTTAATACTTCGATGACAGTGATAAGAATAGTGGGAGCTAGTAAGCCTGCATGTTCACGATCCTCCTGTCGATCGCTGCTCTAGGAATGCTAACCGCCGCCGTCTCAACGTCACTCCGGCCGTGTCGCAAGCCAATTTTGGGGGCAGGTTTCTGGGGAGGGCTTCTGTTCACAGCTCAATGGGGATATAAAAAATCAGCAGGGGCGCCGGGAAGTACAGTCAGCCCACGACCGGCCCCGACCTAATGCGTCGAGGACGGTCCCCGCGCTGCATCGATAGGTCGACCGCCTTATCTTTCCAAAGTTGGTACCAAGAGTATAATAATGGGTATGAGTGCTCAGACCGTTCTAATAAATCCTTGAGCCTGCCCCTACAATTCCTGACAATACAGAATCTCCGGAATTATCAGTATCTCAAAGCCTTGTACGATATCACTCTTCGCAACACTACGGAAAATCGATTTTAACATTGCCCGGATACGAAAAAATGGCGCAAGCAGTGGCTGATCTCGCTGAGGGCGCAGTTCAAGTTGGCACAGCAATTTTTGGCGCTATCTTCAACTCGGGTGCGGATAAAGACTTTCGAAGTTCGTGGACACAAGTTCAAGTAGGAGACCTTACCTCGAAGAACCCGGGGAAGAATGTCATGGTTGTCTTCACCAAACACGACGCATCCGGCCTCGTCAACAGCACAATGACCATTCGGGAATGTACGTGTCCTAACAGCGGATCGGTGTTGACATATAGTTGTTATGTCTTCGATTCTGGTCCATTTGTTTTGCAAGGAGACGGGTCAGTCATTACAAATGATCAACGAAGCCTCGCTGACGTTTTTTGCAGAGGATACTTGAACTGGTGTTTTGCTGGCAGTTTTAACAGAAACGGCAACAACGTAAGATAGTTGAGACGTTCGATTAAGAAATGACTGACAATTGGTGTATAGGTAACGTTCAATAAGCTGTCCTAAGGAGATCCGGGTATGACACCCAGTCACTACTAGAAAATTAGTATCTAGCCATGATTATTTCAGCTCGATGGTAAATGTCTGCGTATGACGTATATATTTCATTGGCATGGGGGTCTAATCATCGGGGAATGAAATCCGTTTTGGTTCAGTTTCAGCATGTTGTCGATATTGGAGAAACAAGCCATTGGAGTGTAGTATGCTATGATAACGATAACGACAGCCGCGGCTCGGGCCAATGTCAGTATCTATAGAAGTATGTTGATGGACGCAATGAGAAAGGAATATCAAAGAAAACCTCAAAATGAATGGGTAAGAAGTACAATAGTCGTCCACATGATCATCATTACTGTCGTGATGCCCATAAACCTCCTAGCCTTGCGCGCCAACTTCTAGCTGCTCATTGCCCCATCTAGACCGCAGGACGCCATCACCCGCTAGACCGTATCAATCACAGCTGTATCGGTTTCACAGTACGATCAGGAGCACCACAAACCCCGAGCCACCGGATAAAGGAGATATCCCTCCTTGGGACGCTCCAGACACGGATTCGGCGTTGGGCAGTGACGAGGACTCTGTTTCGGCAGAGACATTGAGGTCGAGTCTGCTGGAAGTGTGAGGGAACACGAATGAGAGTATCACAGATACGGCTCCACGATTGGGTAGCAATATTCCCTGCGAAGATGAAGTCAAGCAGGCCAGGCTAGCTCTGGAGCATGAGATAGTCTACGTATATTCGAAGGAACTCTGTACCTGTCAATGTCCGGAGAGAGATCTACGAGGTGTCTGATCCTGGAACGGGAATGGGCCTCCGAGCAATTGAGATGGCCATCACAAAAATCCCATGCCAGAGTGCTTAGAGCCGGATCCGACCGCCAGGCATCTCGCCGAAGCTGAAATTTCGACGAATTCAGCAAGGAGTGGAGTTATCCGCGAAAGTTCGACCTGATCCATGTTCGTGCTCTAGTAGCTCGAGCAACAAACTTTCCCCCTCTGATCCGGCAAGCCTACGGCGGTTTGATGCCATGAATATACCCGGAGATGACTGACGTGCAGAAGCCATCCTTATCGGACGATAGCAGAATGGAATGCAAGGTTTTGGAGATCCAAAAAGACAGACGGGTTGGAGCGGGTGTTGGACTTGGGAGTTAATACCACAAGGTGTACCTCGTAAATGTGTTGCTTTTATAGAACCAGATCACTAGCGCCTCGGCTACAATCCACCCGGCGATGATTGGCTAGACTGTTAGACTGCGATTGAGCCTGCGGAAACCCCACAGATCATCTGGGAGCACAACGCAAGGGGGGAGTCAACTCCTACGCAGTCGTTTCGCCTTTACACTTGCGGACCGCTTGGTTCATAAGATCTGTCTTCGAAGCAAAACTATCGCACCTCTTTTCGGCACCGCTTCCGTTCCAGTTCCACAGTGTCAATCTCATAACACCGTCAGCAAAGATGGATTTCGAAAGCCTGAAGAACCAGGTTAGCAACTTGACCCTTTACGACATCAAAGCTGGGGTCCGGAAGGTCCAGAATGGTATGTCGATCTCCCAGCTGCTATGGGCGATGTTGACGTTTTCGAAGCCGTCATGAACTTGACCGAGATGGAGGCCAAGGTGGGCCGCCACCCTCCGAACCAGTATTGTAGCATGCTCCTTACTTTTCCTTCAGGTGCGAGAAGCCACAAACGGAGATCCATGGGGCGCATCTGCAAGTCTGATGCAGGAGATCGCTCAAGGCACACACAACTAGTCAGTCGTCCACATCTGCGTCTTGGGTTGCGAGCTAACTCCCGCAGTCAACAACTGAACGAAATCATGCCCATGATCTACAAGCGGTTTACAGACAAGACTGCGGAAGAGTGGAGGCAGATATACAAGGTACAGGCCTAGAATTTCCTCGAATTTCCATGGTGCTCATGCCGAAACAGGCTTTGCAACTGCTGGAGTTTCTTTGCAAAAACGGGTCTGAGCGTGTTATTGACGATGCACGCTCACACCTCTCCCTTCTCCGAATGCTCCGCCAGTTCCATTACATCGATCAGAATGGCAAAGACCAGGGGGTCAATGTCCGAAACAGGTCCGCAGAGTTGGTGAAGCTATTGAGTGACGTTGATACCATCAGATCAGAGAGAAAGAAAGCACGCGCAAATCGTCATAAATACGGAGGTGTGGAGGGCGGAATGGGATTGGGTGGCGGCTTCTCCAGCGGTAGTCGGTATGGCGGCTTTGGCAGCGAAACTGGTGGATTTGGCGGCTACCAAGGAGAGGTCTACGGCGATGGTGGAGGCTTCGGTGGACGTGAGACTGATTTTTCGGGCACACAGCGCCGGGGCGACCAGTTTGAAGAATACGATGAGGCAGATGATTTCGATGCCACAGGACCAACCAGAAGCACCACCAACACACGAACAGCACCACCACCAACAACATCAACAGCCAAACGGGATGCGCCTAAGCCGAAAGCACCGGAACAAGATCTCTTTGATTTTGGCGATGAACAACCCGTGACTGATCGTTCGAATGACAAAGCTCCAGCAGCTCAGACAAGCGGCCTAGATGACTTTGGGGGCATGCAAAGCAGCACAGCCAATGATGACGACGATTTTGATGATTTTCAATCTGCTGCCAGTCCAGCAACGACACAGCCTGTAGCAAATCCGTTGGCAAGCATTGCTCCCCCTCCAACCACTTCCACTACGACCTCGGCCACGCAGTTTGCGGCTCCAAAACCAGTGGCTCCTGGGCAGACTGCGGGTCTCAACAACATTTTCACAACTGCATCTCCAGTCCCATCGACGACTTCGTCGATAACGTCACCAACAACGTCCACATTTTCACCACCACCTGCACAGAAACCTCCTCAGCCTATACAACCCACTGGGTTTAGGTCCACTGGACCCAACTACTTCACATCAGTTCCAATGTCGACGAATCCGCAGCCCACGCCCACATCTACCGCATCAACTCCCTTGAGCGGAGCCACTCCGTACATGTCCACCACTTCTGCAGTATCACTCGGCAAACCCATGTCCAAGCCCGCCGCGAGTAAAGGAGGCGATGCATTTGGGGACCTCTGGAATAGTGCAAGCAGCAAAGCAGGGGTTAAGGGTGCCACTGGGCCGCAGAAGGGACCAGATCTAGCGACCATGGCCAAAGCGAAGAGCCAGGCGGGAATTTGGGGAGCGGCGTCCGCAGCGAGCTCGACAGCTACAAGGCCTGGCGCCATGGCTACCAACACGGCCTCAAGTCAAGGGAAACCTAGCGCGCCTCTAGGGAATGACTTGGATGATTTGCTTGGTTAGACGAAACTAGATATGAGAGTCTGAGTTTCCGGCGGACAAGAAAAGGAGCATTCGCAGCTTGATCACCAGACTCTTGAGAGATTTGCATAGATCGAAGGGATAATTTTTCGCTCGTTTTAGCAGCCTCACATAATGATTCTGGCAGATTCATAATGCTGCAGGCTAGACTTTTGGTCGAATGCGATCCGAAATCCGGGGCGGCTTCCATAATCGTGGTCCTTGGATAGGCCTAATAGGCTCTGGTGCGCATGGACTCGGTCCACATGCGACGGAGCGGATGATATTCGTAGGCATCAAGAGCGGGCCT